CATCAATATACAACTATATACATCTATATATATATATATTAGAATGTGAAGCAGAAGTTAAAATTCCGAATGCCTTCGACGGCTTTTAGCTCAGATTCATTCTTGTGAGCTTCATCCGTCGTATCTATATGTGAGAGACTACAAGTGACACCATACTTATAAACACCTTATCAACATTTTACGTTATCAATCAGAGAGATACCTAAATGCGTTGCTACTATATTTAGAAGTACCTTGACGCCTGAAGTCACGCCATATGCATATACGCATCTAGGCCATATTTCAGCACTGCACAATCCATGTGTTTTAATCCCGATTCTTATGTGTCGACCCAAAATGTGTCCTTTTAATCCCGTTTCTTAACTGTGTCAACCCAGAATATTGAGCCATACTTCAACTTCCCACAATCCATGAGTTTTATTCCCGTTTATTTTCTGTCAACCCAAAATGTGTGTTTTATTCACGATTCTTATCCGTGTCGACCCAAAATGTGTGTTTTAATCCCAACTCCAGAGTGTCTCAGAATATCCAGCTGCTGACCAATCTCGTGCGGTTGTGTTGTACGGAGCGGAGGGCGCCCAAGCAAGCGAGGAAACCCCGAACTCGCGAAGCAGAGGTAAGTTGCGGTAGTAGACAATTATGGAGGAACGGGTTGTGGTAGTAGGTGTCGCATCTTGCAGCACGCCAGCGCTGTATGCTGGATGGTTACCCTTTTTTGTATATATACCCTACATGTCTATGTATGCATGTGTATGAATATTTGTATGTGTTTGTATATACCCTACATGTCTATGTATGCATGTGTATGAATATTTGTATGTGTTTGTGTGTGTGTGCGTGTGTGTGTATATGTTGTGTGTGTATATGTGTGTGTATGTGTGTCTGTATGTGTATGTGTGCATGTGTGTGTGTGTGTGTGTGTATGTGTGTGTCTGTGTCTGTATGTGTGTGTCTGTGTCTGTGAGAGAGAGAGAGAGCCTTCATCCATTCCAATCTGAAAGATACTTTGTGTGTGTGTGTATATTCGAAGAATGGGCATAGGCACAGATGCACCCCCTGTGCATATACTCTTGCTCTATAGAACAACAGTACTCTTCTTCTTACCTGTGATTGCTTAAACTACCGCACTCTCATTGGCATAGGGTTTAGGGTTTCAAGTGAGACTGTCCCTGTCTCTGACTGTAGTCTGCCGTCACGCGCAAACATGAGACGTCACTTAGCGGTCGGAGTCCTCGGTCGTATGTTAGATCCATCGGATCTGAATATGCACTCCTGTATAATCCTAAAACCCTAAAACCCTACAACCCTAAAACCCTCTATATGTAGTTTATAATACCTATGTCTGCCACGAGGTGAATGCATACCCACCCAACCCCCCTGCCAACCCCATCTCTCTCTCTGCCTCCACGCAGCTTATACTCTCTATATTAGCTATCCTGCTATACGTAATACTATATTTATTATTTATTATATCGCTTTACCTGACTCTATATTCCTTATATTGCAATGCCTGACACTATATGTATCGTGTATTATACTAATGTCTGACACTAGGCTGAATGCACACCAGCCCCACCCCCCTGCCAATCTGATCTCTCTCTGTCTCCACTCAGCCCCCCTCCGGCAGTGACACAGACACGGCGCTTTGGCCCGAGGACGTTGACGATGAAGACGACCCGCCCCATGCTGAACACACACCGCAGAAACGCCGTACCAAGGACCTGAATCTGCGCAATGTCATGCTACTCACTCGACTGGTGCAGACGAAGACAACGCTCATGGACCACCTAGTGCGCGACGAGTACTACCATCACCACACCAAGGTGCCAGCCATGGCCAGGTGCGTGGGTGTGTCGTAAATTGTCTCGTGGTGTCGGTACTGTGCGTGGGTGTGTCGTAAATTGTCTCGCGGTGTCGGTAATGTGCATGAGTGTGTCTTTAATTGTCTCGTGGTGTCGGTAATGTGCGTGGGTGTGTCGTAAATTGTCTCGTGGTGTCGGTAATGTGCATGAGTGTGTGTCGTAAATTGTCTCGTGGTGTCGGTAATGTGCATAGCGTGTCGGAAAATGTCGTGCAGTGTGATAGCATCGCCATGCAAAGGCCGTCCATGGCCAGGTGTGTGGGATGTGGTAAACTGCCAAATGGTGTCGGTAATTAAGAATGCATGTCGCGAAATTTCGTGCAGTGTGATACTACCGTCATACAAAAGTGACAGTCTATGGGCAGGTGCTTGGAGCGTTGTAAACTGCAGACGGGGTCGATAGTGGAGATAACCTGTCGCAAAATATATCCTGCTGTGTACTACTACCGCTATACGAAAGTGTCGGTGGGGTGTCAAAAAAATGCAGATGGTGTCGTTAATTCAGAAAATGTGTCGCAATCTGTCTTACTGTGTAGTATCGCCGCCATGCGAGGACACCGTCTATGGCTATGTGCGTGGGATGTATTTCCAACAAACCTGTTTAGAGAACGTGTCGCAAATAATCCTGCTGTGAAATATCGCCGCCATGCGAGGACACCGTCTATGGCTAGGTGCGTTGGATGTATTTTCAACAAACCTATTTAGAGAATGTGTCGCAAAGTGCCTTATCGTGTGGTACCCTGGTACCGGGGAGCTTGTCAAATCTCTAGAAGATGTCGTTTATGTAGATTATGTGTCTCAACATATCTTGCTGTGTGATTGCACCGCCCCTACAGAGACAAGCTGCACGATGCGTTGTAAATCTTCCAAGAAATATCGTAAATTAAAATAGCGTGTCACAAAAGAACTGTATGCATATTATCACCAATATACTAACAGACTCCTATAGCCACGCATACATACATACATACATACACAGCGAGCTGACTGTGATAGGAAGCAACCTGTCGCAAACACGTGCGTATGGGCTGCGTATGGGCTGTTGGAAACATGTGAGGTGTTAGAGACGTGGGTGGGGTTGTCGCAAAAGGTGCTGATTGTCGCAAACTGGGTTGAGCCCAGCGGATATACCAGCCAGGTTTACTGAAACATGCACGACCATAGTATTCAAGACTCTCCAAGAGCCTATCTTGAACCATTAACCTGTCCCCTGGCACTTCGGTATTTACGTAGTATTAGAATACCAGGACAAAATATTTATTGATCCATGTCTAAATCTGAGAAGCTTTATTGTCTTTTCTGGTATCGATTTCTCTGTTCAGGGATCGGCATTTGTGGAAGATACTCAAAGAGAATCCGTTCTTGTGGTCGGTTCTGCCTATCATCGCTCAAGGTGGGTCCGTGAGGTTACATATGAATATAAATTTATATGTATGTATATTTATATATATATGTGTGTGTGTGTGTGTGTGTGTGTGTGTGTGTGTGTGTGTGTGTGTGTGTGT